ACTTGCCATTAACTGTCTAATGTTAAATTGAAATTTTAGAATTTTCTTTTTAATGAAAAAATAAATAGTCACTCGCGAGTGACTTTATTACGAAGCTCTGCTTCAAAAAAGAAAAATCTTCCGTTCCGTCCTCCGCGATATAGCGGATCTTGAGACTTTCCAAAGGCCGTCTGATCACCGAAAACTAGTCTATGCCTTACAGGCTCTCTCCTCCGGAGGCGTTTTAGCACTGAAGTGGTCCAAGCTGCCTGAGCCGCTGGACGGTCTTCGCCCGTGACAGTTTTAATCTGCTGGAGACCTGATAAAGTGAAATCAGGGGCAGAGAGAACAACGCGGGCGTTTCACCAGCGTGAGAATCGCCCAGCCGTTACGTGAAGGGAGCTCGCTGAAAAATCTCTGCTCGGTTTATCAAATCCACCCGGTGCCACTGGTTCGGGTCGAGATTTCTGTGGGTGAGACGACAACGGCCCCGTGAATATTCCGCGCGTGTGACACTCCTGGGGTTTTCCTCCTGGAAAACTCTCCCGTTTCCAAAGCGAACCCAAAATTTACCCACCGTCGCTCCCTCCCTAGGAACCTTTCAGGCGTAAAAACACGCAGACGGATGCAGACCGACTCTCGCCGCCTGTCCCCCCCGTCCCTAGCCCCGTGTGTGCTTGGCGATGAGGAGCGTGTATCTCCCTTTACGCGGTTATTTACACCCAGCCCCTACGCCCGCGTAGCAGGGAGAGCGGCTGTGGGTTACTACAACGCTTCTCCACCCCTAGTCCTCCGAGAGCTCTTGGAGCCTTCTCCGGGCTCCCGAGCCTCCCCTCAGCCCCTCGGGCAGCTCCCCCGGCCTGTCCCGGTGCTTTCATCGCTTCCCGAAGTCCCGCAGAAAGGTGGCCTGGCAAGCCGCTGCTGACAACCCCGTTAGGAACACCGCGGGCATCGGAGCTCGCAGTAGCTGTATTTTTATAAAGTATGCGCCAACAGCATGAGGGACAAGTCGGTCTCCTTCGAAACTGGGGACTGAGCCGCGTAATGGGCTGCGAGGTGGCAGATCACCCAGCAGCGGAAAGTGGCTTGACGAAGCCTTAAATATATATATTTTTTTAAGGTTTCCAGGTGTTACAGCTTTCATTTATCCCTTCTTTGGTTCTAAGTGACTCGGAGACCTGGCGCGTCGTTTAAAGAGACTGTTGCAAGATGCCCCGGACGGGAAATATGAGCTCCGTGGGCTTTAGGTGCAAGCGTTCACACACAGCGGAGGGGTGGGTACCTCCCCCAGGCCAACCGACTGCCCAGTCGCACATTTACTTCTAAAAAGTAGAATTAGGAGCGGTACTTCACAGACTTCAACAGGTTAAAAATCCCAAACAAATAAACCATCCAAAATCAAAGCAAAATAAAACCAGGCCCTATACCCACTCTTGATCTGCGAAACACAGTAGACAGACAGACCGACCGACGCGAGGCACAGCTACAGCAAACGCGGAGGGACAGATCTGTATTTCGTTGTTTCTTGGGTGCACACACTTATCAACAAAACATGCAGAGAATTTTGCTATTAGGTCGGGAAAAAAAAAACAACCCTTAATACCTTTTCCTTGATGCAGACTATCTCTCAACCGAGTTGATCTAAAGAAGAGATTCGTGAAGGTTTTTTTTTTTCCCCTCAGCTGCGTTTTGTAAAAGCAATAGAGCGAGAACACAGGAGAACTTTATTCCGACTCTCTCAGCTTTCTGTGCTGTTTGTTTTTCTTGGCAGCAGCTGCAGCAGCCCCAAGATGGTCGCTTTAAATCCTAATTCTACTCTACAGCCAGACGTGCTGCAGGACGCCTGAGCCTGCACTCGCCGGGCGGGCGGCACCGTTTCTGCTGCCGTGGGAGTCAAGGTGAAGTTTACCGCGTCCGGGCTGCGGAGGAGAATCCGGCCCAGAGTGGGACGCGGGGCTGGCAGCGCTGGGTGGCCTGGGGGAACTGGACTTGTTCCGCGGACAAAACGCCCGTTACAAGTTTCCGAGGTCGATTGACGCCCTCAAACCGCCCTGACGACCCCTCGGACGGGGACGCGGCGCGTTCGCGATGCGACTCGGCGTGCGTGGCTGGTTTGTTTAGGCTCTGTGGGGGTGCCTGTGCCGTACCTGCGAACTGCACCTTTGCCCGACACTTGAACTAAGGCTTTAGGACTTTGCATAGACTTATGTAAATATTTACCCATGTATTAACTCCCCCCCCTCCCCCCGGCTATAAACAGGGGTGAATCGTCCCCTCTTTCGCCACCCACGTGCTTGGCGGGGGATGCACATCTTACTGGGAGACCGGGGGAAAAGAAAGCCCGTGTTTACTTGAGCAGAACACGCAGTAAAGTGTCTTCAAGTGTTGGCAAAAGCACCGTCAGTCCCCAACAAAATCCGTCATAGGAACCGAAGGGAAAGTATTTACGACAGAGAAAAGTGACAGCGGAGAGCCCTCTGCCTCCGAGCGCACCACCCCGTGCCACTTTTTTTGTTGTTGTTGTTAAGTAAAAGCGACAAAGCGACACCTGGATCGGAATGGAAACAGAGGCGAATAGGCATTCCCACCTACCTTCTGGAAAAACCACCCTCATTTTTAAATAGCTGGTGGTGAGCCTGATTATGGATGCTTTGTCCAGCTGCGAGGTGATAGCGGAGGGCAGGGGTAGTAATTTAGCCAGTTCATAAAATTCACTGTTTTCTTTCTCCCGTCTAGTCCGGGCAGCATTTTTGGACTTCTCTTTCATCGTGTTTTTTTCCCCCTTCCTTCCTACAGTTTAAACTCCAGAGACTCATCCAAAGGTGGAAGGGAAACTTTCAGCTGCAATTCATCTCTCCGGAGCATCAGGCAGTGGTTCTGAGCGCGGCCATGACTCTGAGAAACCGTTCAGTTGCGTAAAATGCAAACAAGTGTTGAAGAACAGGGAGGTGTTCTTAAAAAAAAAAAAAAAATTAAAATATTCACTGAAAAGCAGAATCAGATGGGAAAGGCATTTATCCAACGCAGCTCGGAGGCTCCAAGCAACCCCAGGAAAAATAAAATAAAAATGAAACAAAAAACAGCTAGAAGCTTGCGGCACCACACAGCAACCAAACGAGGTATTTCTGGCCTTTTTTCCTACTGGTGGCGGGCAGCACGGCTCCTCGGAAGAGGGTCATAATAATCCCGGATCTTCCCGTGATCCGCCGTCAATCCGCGGCCCTCAGCGCCCGGCCGCGGGGTCCCTCCCAG